CCACACGTAATGAGGAAGCCACAAGGGTCTTGGCACGTTATAAAATAGCGTTTGATACTCTCAAAGATTCATAGTTCAGTTTCAAAAATATGAACAGAAACCAGATCAGCTGTGATGGCGGTAAAACCTTTAAATCTCCAAAAATTTTTGAGAAGTGTTTGTCTAAGAAATCCTAACCAAAGCTCGCCCTTCGAGTTTGTGATGCGATTACCGTTTGGAAAATTGCTGACTCTCAAAAGAAATGTGGAACAGGAACAGGAATCTTTGCTCTCAATCCTTGCCAATTAGCTCTACGTATGTGTATTCCGCCGAAAAGAAAGGGGTAACAAAAGCAAGTATTTTTCATGCGTGTAAATGTCATCCGAATGTCAAAATCGCCTGTCATCTCTCACTTGAAAGCTTTCCGATTATGGATCGAGTTAATTCGCGTAAATGAATGTCGTACTTGTAATTTACCTGTTTGAGGAAGAAATTCTCCTTATTGATTTTTTCTCAAATGGGCGCTAGATTGCTGCTCACACTTTTCATCCTGCTCGAAATTGCTTTTCAAGTACGGTCATATAAAATCATGGATCTGCAGGAGTGCAAGGCAGTAGATAAAACAAGAAAAGGGGTTTGCTCTATGGACTACATGCCTTGAGAAACTGCTCTTACTTTATGACAAAATCGCGGTTTTGAGTTGAAGAGCCGAACCGGAATACAGAAAATTCAGTCGATGTAGACTTTCGGTTGAGATACGTACAGTAAAGAAAATCAAGAGCGGATTTTCACCTTTGTTCTAAGCCACAAGCCTCTGAATACCGAGTTATGAGTGAAAAAAGGTACGCAGTGTCTAGATTAAATTGATTGTTATCGTTTCTCAGCGAATGGAGCAGTGTTGTGTATGAGTATATTAGACAGAAAGTGCAGAAATCTGTTGCATAGATTGCCCTGATCAAACATTGACTGAGAGTGGTTCTAAGTACTGTTTGTTTTCGTTACGTGTACAATTTTTCGACTCAAAAACGCTTATAACTCAAAAAAAACAAAAGAGCCAGACACTAAAGACAGATTTTTTTTAGCTTTTCCTAACGATGCAAGGCTTGTGGCCTAGGCCAATAGGCTTGGCTAATGCCTATTTGTGAATGCATGTTGAAAATTCGGCCGAAGTCCCGCCTTTATGGGTTGGAATGCACTACTTAGCAATAATATGCCTCTGTGTCTGTCTACGGGCACTCTGACAAACATTCAGACAGAATCGAATGACAGAACTGCCGGCCAGTCAAGGTCTGTTACATAATCTTACCTATTCGTGGTCTCTTAACAACTACTCTTATACTGACTCTATGTCATCGACGGTCAGTTAAGAACGAATGAAGTACGCTAACTGAAGGTCTATCTACATTTACAATTAGGAAACTGATGATGATCGGAAGGCTTTCACTCCAGATCTACTACGTAGCGCTATACATATAAAGACACCGTGGATCAGAAATGCATTAGCCGAATTTTTTGGCACCTTTATGCTCCTGGTACTCCTATCATCCTTTATATCTGTTTTCCAAAATCATAGTTGCAGTTTATCGGAGACGCCATTGTGATGCAGTTTGAATTATCCGATAGAAAAATGAATACCTGGATTCAGATAAACCTTGGCTGGGGTTTTGCAGTTTGTTTTGTAGCTTATTTGTGCGCGAAAACGTCAGGTATTCATTTGCCATCTGCAGGCATAGCAAAAATTTTGCTCACTATATTTCAGGTGGGCATGTTAATCCTGCTGTATCTTTGGCAATGGTTACATTCAACAGACTTTCTGTGAGAAACTTCTTTTTATACTGGTTTGTACAAACACTTGGAGCGTTCTTAGGAGCGGCGACCGCATTTGGAATCTATCACAGTGAGTACTCTTTCGTTTTTTCCTGAAAGCTTAAAAGAGAGAAGTTGCGTAAGACGATACTATTATATTAGGTTGTTCCAAAAGTTTTGTCATTTCATTTTCGAAAATTTGTAATTTTTCACTATCTCAAAGGATTTGCTTCATTATAATTTCATTAGAAGAAGAACCCCCTTTGTTTGCAACTGCGTCTTCACGGGTTTCTATTATGGACCCAATGCAGAATGAAAATGAAAAAGAAACATTGAGGCTTTGATCACTTTGATGGGTCGCCAGAAATGTGAAACGTAGTAGATAAAAGAAAATTGTCACTACATCAATTTTATAACCCTTTTTTCAAGAAAAAGTTTGTTCTGTTTGGAAGTTATCTCGTATTTGTTACGCTATTTATTTGGACGCGAATTCATAATTTCTACTTATACAACAGTAAATGCCAAGTTTCCAAACAGAACAATTTTTCCTCATTTGCAAAGAGTATGTCATAGCGGTACTTTTCCGTTATTTGGACCCATTTTCTCAAAGAAGGATGTTGGATCTTTCCTTGTGCCAAATTTGCTCATAACTGCACAAGAAGGAATGTCAACCTCCTGCCACGTGTCAAAAAATGACGTGTCATCTACAGGGTCAAGCAAGAGGTGTGGCACACGATCGCTGGTTACGACCCCCCCCCCCCTCTCTCTTATTGCTGTCTCAATAAGATCTCCTCAACTAGGCAGCAACATATCCATGATTAGCATGTCAATTAACCGCTCTAGACAATGTCTGAGCGATTTCTGAAGTTTTAAGATACTGGTCACCTAAGTGAAATCGCCATTTTCCAGCATGACTAACTTTGTTTCAAAGGTGAAGCAGCTAGCTGTTTTTGCACTCAAAACAAAGCACTACTCCTTTTTTAACCACTTCAGAAATCTCGCTTCAAAAGACCTTCTAACTGTGGAATTAGAAGCCAACCGAAATTTTGTTTTTCCTCTTTTTCGCTTCTATTGGCTGTGCTTTCACCGAATATTACTCAGAGCTAAGAAGGCGAATCAGGCTCAGAATATCACTCCTGTGAAATCAACGAGGTTTAGGCTATCTATTTGTATAAATAACGGTTAACTAAAAATGTTTTTTTTTCTTGATATAGTTAATGGGGTGTGGCACCACCCCTAAAAAGCTGTGGCTGCCACAGCTAGGGATGGTGCCACACTCCATTAACTTACCTTCAAACAGATCAAACAGCTGCGTTTTTTTATATCGTTGTTACTGCTTAACCTATTTTAGATAGCAGAAATTTCATGCGAAACCTTTTTTCAAGAGCAAGATATAATCGTTTTTCGTTATCTATGCAAATGTAAAATACTGATAAGATACTGCGAAAATATTGGGGATACGACATGCTAGGTCTGCGCTACTGCGTGAAACGCAAGCGAAGGCGACACGAATGCACTATATATTCGATAGCCTAAGCCTCGTAATCTACATTGAAGCAATTTGAGCCTGATTGGTTTTCTCTAGCCCGAGAAATTGAAAACGAAAAATGAAGCAAACACGATTTTGGCTTGCTATTGACTCCTTAACTTGAGGTCATCTGAAGTAGGATTTCTAATGTGAGCAAACAAATAGTAGTTCTTTGTACTAAGCGCAAAAAGAAGTAGCTAGCTTACCTTTGAAACAAGGTAACATGTTTACAAACGACCATCTCACTTAGGTGGTCCTGTATTTGGAAACCTCCGAATTCGCTGAAACTTGGACCACAGGGGTTAACTTGCTAGTTATAGAACGATGCTCTTATGCCTTATAGATCTCTAATTATGCTTACTGTACGAATACGATAATGGGTAAAACATCAATGTGCTGGTATTTTGCATGAAGGGCCTATTTGACATCGTTAACGAATATAATGTTATGCGAACAGCAGACGCCTTGATAACGACCCCCACCCTCGCTGATTTCTCAATACGACTCGCCAGGTGTGGCATGCCACACCCCACGCTTGACCCTAGTCATCTATATGTTTGATAGGTTTTACCACGAGTTTGTTTAGCTTGCCTACCTAGGTATCTAAGTTTAGCCTGCTTTCAATCAATAATAACCTCAATTCTTTTCAGCAGTTTAAGAAATAAACATAATTTCTAGGAATAAGATTCTGTGTTTAATACATTGGATTTATACAAAACAGAAAAGTCGGTTATTGTTCTACGATTTAAGAGGCAAAAGCGGTAGCCAAGTGCTTCAAACCATCATTTACATTCTTTCCTGGCTAAATTCGCATGGTGGCAAAAATCTAAAAAGGAAGAGATTGGTTGTTGAATGCGACCAAGATGTTTGATAAACGTTTGGATTGTTTTGCCCTTATGAAAAAGCGTTCAACAGTTTTAGTCATTTCAAATGCTGCCATAGCTCCCCGGAAATGACCCTGAGAAAAGCATGTTGGACTGAGCGAACGTGTTAATTTTTACCATGAAACGTGGCAGAGAGACACTCCCCATAGGATAAAAAAAATATTTTTTAGGTTTGAGCATCCACTCCATGAAAACATTTTTTAAAATTGGGTCCGGATAACGAAAATCCCATAAAACTTATAAGCTGACAATTTCTGATTCTAGACTGACGATTTTTCCGCAACGTTCCAAGATTTGGTGAACTTACTTAGAATGAGCAATGCCTATAATGTTCTTTTTTTTACTTTTCTCTACAGCGAGTTTTAGGAAAAGCCCCTCATCTTATATATAAAGCTGAATGTCTGTTTGTCTGTCTGTATGTCTGTCTGTATGTCTGTCTGTCTGTCTGTCTGTCTGTATGTCTGTGTGTACGTATGTTCCGAATAGAAAATTCCATTTCTTAACCGATCGGGACCAAACTTAGCACGCATACACTTCGGGCCCCGGCGGGTGTCATAGGCTACTTTTCGTTATCGATCGATATCGATTTCATCGATTTTTTGCAAAATTTGAGCTACGGCGCTGGGAGTTGGCACAGGGGGTAATCCAGCATGCTGATCACCCCCGTGGGGATGATCAGCATGCTCGATTACACCCCCCTGCCAAATTCCAGCCCCCTAGCTCAAATTTTGCAAAAAATCGATAAAATCGACATCGATCGATAACGAAAAGTGGACTGTGACACCCGCAGGGGCCCGAAGTATATGTGTGCCAAGTTTGGTCCGGATCGGTTGAAGAAAGGAATTTTCAATTCGGAACATACGGCAGAGCCGGGTAAGCCAGCTAGTATACTATATTTACATAAAGAGGGGACTTCCTCCTTCCAAGAAAAATTACAAAGAAGTAAATTCGCTGAAATAGCGAAAGGTCACAAATTTTTAAAAATGCAACGGCAAATTTTTGGAAATGGGAGGACCTACTATATATATGACTCAAGCAATCGAAGCCGCACACTTCTACGCCGCTGCACTATATCGTGTTGCAACCATATGGCAAAACTGTCAATTTCTGACCATTTTTGTTGGAAAAAATTTCGACTCTCCAGCCGCTCTCACTGCAGCGCTAATATCCCACCTAGTGTTGTGCGGAAGAAAAATGGTAATCTCAAAATTTCCTTCCAAACCGCCCTCCGCCTCCAATGCTTGTTACAAGAAAGTGGGGTTTTGCCAAATATGAGTCCGGACACGATGTAGTGGTGCGGCACAATAGTGGAGCAGAAATTGCCTGCAATTTGCACGTCCGCCTTTAGCGTCCCCCCCCCCCTCTCCCTCCTGCTTCTCAGCATCGTCTCGACGTAAGAGTGATGTGCATGTTCTTGTTGGGTTATTTTGATTTGTTCAGTTGCTTATAAGATAAGTGAAAAACAAATGTAGCAGTAAAATGTAATCAAAATTCCCTCACTTTTTTTTGTTATTTAGATCAGTTTGTCAACTTCGAAGGTCACGAACGCAAGATCTCTGGTAAAAATGCGACTGCATCATGTTTTTGTTCATTCCCAGACGATCATGTGGGAAATGTCACATGCTTCTTCGATCAGGTTTGCAGCTATATATTTACTAGGAAGGGATTGACGATCGTTACCTTCCAATATGTATGGATTGTGCGCATCTGGAAAAGCTTATGTCAAATCTGCCTTTAATATTTGCTGTGCGGTCTTATATAATGAATCACAGGTATAGTTGGCTGTTACTCTTTATAAAACAGCGTCCAAATGTATCATCATCACATCAGGCTCCAGACTTCTTCAGTCAAATCCGTTCTAGAAAGTCAAAACTGACGATTCTGGTTCATGTCCACCTCGAGCAATCCATCGAAAAAACCTTGCTGTTTGTTCAGAATATGATGCAGTACATATCAAGGGTCCATAATATAATTCTGAAGAAGTTTGCGAATAAGCCTCCCCTTTTCTTTATGATCATATACGGTTTCAAATCCACATGAAGCTGAAACTTCTTGCTTGAAGTTTCGTAGAGCAGCGCGAACGACCTACCTTAGCCCGTATTCAGCTGCTTGAAACTGGTGCTCATACGCGAAGGGATGATGGACAAGTCATAGTCGATCCGCCTAAATTGGGAAAATGCCCGCGTTCCACTTCGAGTATAGTGTTCTTGACTTGAGAGAGTTCATAATGCTAGATGTGATTTGGCCGACGGTTTTTAGAGATCCTCAAATGAAATCAATGAAAAACCAGTCTGGTGAAACTCTAAATCAAAATACAGTGCGTTTCATAACTATACGTCACCCCCCGAAGTGTGGGATTTCCGGATTTACAGAAGCGATCGCGTACTCCAGCCAGTGCCTGTGATCTCACATGGTAATGAATAAAATGACATCTCAATCAATATGTCTACTCACTTACTTTTCTACATGTAGAGAGAGACATGTCTATTGTTCCACTGTTTCATACCATACGACACCTTTGAGCAGTGCACTTTTTGCAAGGAAACACGCAAGACATGGTTTTCATAACTTAGGGCTACCAGGCTCTTTCACCGCTTCGTCTATATTGAAGACGCTTCTAACGAATTCAGCATGTCTTCGGTTTGGTGTTATCTCATGTGTCCATAGCGAACTGCCCCAACTTCTCCAATGCCTCACACTGCGCGTATCTGCTCAGAAACGCTATGCCAGTAATTTCCAGAGATTTTCTGAAAGAATTGAGACAAGACAGTCTGGACACCTTTACAGAAGCTGCTCGCGATGCCAGCGAAGAACGGCAGTAAGTGACCAGCTGCATGTCCATATGCGTTGCGCTGCTACGAAACGTAGCGCTGTAACTTGCGCTTGTGGAAGTAGAACAGTCGTTGGCCTTCCAGTACTTCTTGGTGATCTACACAAATTTTCTTCCGAAATTTAGGCTTTTGAACCACGCAAAGTGCTCCCAGATTATAGAGGAACCTCCGCTAAAGTTCCTCTTGGTAAAATGATGTGAACTTTAATTACATCCGGCCAGTCGGTCCTTTATTAGTCCAAACTAAATTTTTTTCTAATCAGATTACACAACCAAATCACTGGCTCATTATTTCTGTCATCTTCTTAATCTTCTTAACAAAGCGCCTGTAACAGTACTACGTTTCGCAGGAGCATAACGCGCATGAACATGCTGGTCAGTCACTTACTGCCTTTCTCCGATAGCATCGCGAGCAGCTTCTTTAAAAGCCACCATACTTCTTGTCTCGTTTCCTTCAAAAAATCTCTGAAGATTACTGACACAGCTTTTCTGAGCAAATACGCGCAATATGAGGCTTAGAAAAGTTGAAGCAGTTCGCTATGGACGTATTTGTCAACAATGAAGCAAAGACATGCTTGAATTTATTAGAAGCGTCTCCGGTACATTTGATGAAGCGGTATAAGAACCCGGTAGCCCGATTAGTTATGAAAACCACGTTTTGCGTGTTCTTTTCCTTGCAAAATGTGCACTGCTCAAAGGTGTCGTATAGTTATGAAACAGTGAAAATATAGACATGTCTCTACATGTAGAAAAGCAAGTGAGTAGACATATTGATTGAGATGTCATTTTATTAATACCATATGTGGATTACACAGGCAGTGACTGAAGTACTCAGTCTCTTCTGTAAATCCGGAAATCCCAAATGTTAAGGGGTGCCGAGTTATGAAATGCACTGTAGATTTGAGATCAGCTTTATCAATCATTCTTATTTTGTTGGCTTGTTAACAAAATGATTTTTATTGCTCAATTTAGGTCGCCGGGACAGCACTGTTGGTTTTATTAGTGGTTGCGATAACAGACAAGCGCAACAAAATTCCAGAAGCCGCACATTCCTTTTCGAAATTGTTCTAATAATGATAGGTAAAAGTATAATTCGCCTTGTGCCCCTCTTCACTCGCTTTCCCTCTTTCAGAAAGTGAAATCTAAACACTGAATCTAGGATGCGCTTACGGCATGAATCTTGGATATCCTATTGATCCAGCGAGAGATTTTGGACCAAGAATCTTTGCTTACTTCCTTTATGGCAGCGAAGTTTTCAGGTATGCACTACCCATCTCGATTTTTACCTTTCAATTTTTACATTCAGTTACCATAATTACTACTTTTGGATCCCATTACTGGCCCCCTTCTTTGGTGGATTGCTGGGAGCATGGTCCTATCAAATCTTCATTGGGGCTCACCTTCCAGATATTGAAGAGCAGCCGGTCAGTTCATGATGTTCATCACTGAATCAAGATTAGTTCATTTCACGTCGACGTGACTATAATGTTGTTGAGACTTTTTGTTTCGTGTTTACTGGTATGCTGATTTTCGAGAGAAATTGAAGCGAGACTGTCGCACTGATTACTTAGACATCGTTTAGTTGAAATTCATTGGTCGCAGGCTACGTCCCGTATTCATAATAAAATTATATCCAGCCTGTTCATTGACTTCCACTACTTTCACGCAAGAAAAAAGATTGGCAGAAAGCGCACTGCAAATTTGATTTGAGCGGTATCAGCGCATTCATATTCCTTCACATCAGTGAAACTTCGTCTCGGTTACAGCGCACACATAATGATATGTCTAAGAATTTGGAAGCGGATAAGCGGATATGGACTATACGGGCATAGCGCAGAGTACTGCGGGAATATCTGACTGAAAGTTGTAACAAGCTTTTTTCTTTTCTTCCACTACCACAAAATGATAAATTGGCTCGTTTGCTGACGATGTGGCACGAATTGGTGTGTTTACGCGCAGTTGGACTAAAGAACAAAGCATGAAAAATTATGAAAAGTTTTTGTAAATATAGAGCGTGCTTATCTTCTTTCCAAATTAGGTGGGCAATCGCTTACTTAAGCCCACGTGGTTAGGCAAAACTTCCATTTTAAGCAAGTCTTTTAGAGTTCTTATTAGGTTGTCCGGAAATTAATGCCCGTTTTAAATTTCGACCGCAATAAGTCATACACCTCTCACTTCTAAATAGGATGCAGATACCATTCGATAGAGCATAGCAAGCTCTACAAAAAGGTCATCTTGCTTCTGCAACAGTCTCATCCACCTCGAGTTTCGAGCCAAAAACTAAAAAGACTCAGCAGCCCGAAAATCGAAAAAAATCGTAACTTAGTTCATAAAATCCCTACAAAAATTCTTACTTGCTCACGTAAACACTATTTACATAAAACATCTATATACGCCTTTGCCGTATTTTTTTTCTCTGTTATAAATCAAGAAATTTTCATGCATTTGCCAAAGTGATGCTGTGCCGTCCCCACACATGTAGTTGTATACCACAAGTCTGTAGAAGTAGATACTTGAATTTTTAGCTCTCTACAAGTTTTAGTTCTCGAGAAATTTGAATTTTAGCTTGAACCACCTAACTAGGGAAAGCTATATTCGGTATTTCTCGAGAACTAAAGCTTGTAGAGAGCTGAAAGCTGAAAGATTAAGTATCTACTTCTACAGACTTGTGGTATAGTTACCTATGTGGGGACGGCACAACATCACTTTGGCAAATGCACGAAAATTCCCTTTTTTTGATTTCTAACAGAGGAAAAAATACGGCAAAGGCGTATATAGATGTTCTATGTGAATAGTGTTTACGTGAGCAAGTAAGAATTTTTGTAGGGATACTATAAACTGAGTTACGATTTTTCCGATTTTTCGAGCTGCTGGGTCTTTTTAGTTTTTGGCTCGAAACTCGATGGATGAGAGCTGTTGCAAAAGCAAGATGACCATGTTGTAGAGCTTGCTTTGCTCTATCGAAAGGTACTTTGCAGCTTATTCAGAAATGAGAAGTGTATGACTTATTGCGGTTTTCAAAAAAAGCATTAATTTCCGGACAACCTAATATAAAACACTATACCATTGCCGTATGGTACCGCGGACATTATAGACTATTGAATGTATCAAAAGTGCGATAATCGCTATTCTATCTCTGCTCTACTTTTCAGAGCAATTAGATAGTTGCAAAATACAATCGAGATCTTCTCCTGCTTTTGCGAAAACTTTCTTCCATTTCAGGCAAACAAGCAAACAGTGTTTGCCTTACTGTACGATGCACCTCTCGTGGAACACTCCAAGAACAAATTACCAGTCTTCATTTTTTGTGTGCTTGCCTACTCTCCTTTTTTGTCGAGCAAAGTGGAATAATCTACGGCGATCAGGCGAACTGACGAAAAATTTATATTACAGATGATTTCTTGCTATTAATCTCTATTTACTTCTTCTAATAATGGGTATTTTGCTGGTATACAACCAAGAGCACTGTCACAGCTGTTCGAACTTATAAAAGTTCAAAAACAATCATATTGAATTTGTCACATCTAGAACGTAGCAAATGTTATTTCTCTCGCATCATACTAAGTTTATGATTGTTTCAAATCGCATTGCAAGCATGAAGTCTAGAAGCTAGTCCACAAATTCAAATAGCAGTGCGAAAAGAAGCTAGGCTTCATGCTTTTTTTCTGTACGATTGCAATGCTTTGCGAGCGAATTGAACAAATCAGTGAATGTTGAGCAACCAAAACGTCAGTGACTGCCTATTCGAGTGAACTCAAAAGAACAGTTTGCACAAGCATTAGAGCTTTAGAGTGAGGAATGCGGAAGATTTCAAGAAGCCATTTTTTGAGAGAGAGGGTTGTGTTTTACAATTTGCTCATTCAACATTCTCTATTCTTGCAAATATGGGAACTGCTACGGCGATTTCAGGAATGCAAATTAGAAAACGGTCCAAATAGTGACCAGGTATATTGCGAAAGGTTACTCAGCACCCAGGAAACGTGATCGGATTTGCAGAAAAACCTGCTATGCAGACTTATTTCTCCCTATAGAAACAGTGCCGTCGAAAGTAATGTCCAGAGAAGTTAAGCTATTTTCGGAGCAAACATTTAAGTTCTTTGAAAAAATCTCTTGCAGTTTCCAATCTAAGGCAGATAAGCGAACGTTTCCCAATGTCGTCATCTTCTTCGATTGCATCATCATCTTGCTCTTCTTCATTACTTTCTCCAAATTTCAAACTCCTCGCAACATCATCTTCAATGTCGGAGTCACCGACCGGAGATGATGCGGGTGCAATTTCCTCAAAAGGCATCCGAGATGTGTCCGCTAATTCTTGTAGAAGCTCGCTGGCGTCTGTCTCCTAGGCCGATAGTAATCTACCTTACCTGGCGGCATCTTTGATGTTGATAGTTGGCACATCACGGAAAGTTGCCAACGCCGGCGTGAACTCGCAGACTGGCAACAAGCAGAGCGCCGCAAAAGCGCCGGCATCGTCCGTAGCTGCAAGACCAAACTCGCAGACGCAGCCAGCAAAGTGCCACCACCTCGACATGGTGAAGGCATGTCGGGATGGTAGCACCTTGATCTCTCAAAAGAGCACGCTATTTTTCGTACTCTCTGACCTGGCGGCATCTCTCAGCGCTGAAATTTCGACGAGATGCCGCCAGGTCAGCTCGCAAAGCTGCCGCCAGTACCTCCTGCCTTCCTATACAATTCTTGGGGAGGTTTTTAGAACTTTCAGTTGCCAGGTAGGGTTCCCTAAGGTCATTATGACCTCCTCGACCAGAAATACGTGGTGAAAAGGGTGGGGAGGGCACAAATTCGAGCTCGGTATTCACGCCGATCTCACGTAAAGATGCCGGCGATTTGACGGCGAAACATGCCGCCAGGTCAGGAGATTACTACCGGCCCTGAAGAAAACGTTTCAGTGAAGCCTGAAGGTGACAAAGCGTTAGCAATTCTGAAGGGCATGGTAAAGTGTCAACATAAGTGGGCTCACAAGCAACTACTGATTGTTTCTCGAACAACCTCATACTAGACCAGTACGATAGTTGTATACATAAAAACAGTATTCTGAAAATCAAAAGCATTTGCTCGCCGAGTGCGATTCATTGTTGCTTCGTGCCGAAATGCTTCTGACAGGGTGCTGGGTACAGAACAGACAGAAACGCGGATGGAGGCGCTGTTAGAAAGCATCTAGTTGTCTAGGACAACCATAACTAGGAGTACTAATGATATACGGTTGCGATGAAGCCGCAGTCCTTTGAAATTAGTGGTGGTAACTGCCACCGCCGTTCCAAAATTTGACTAAGGTTTGTTTTTCGAAAATCGCCCGAACACCTTGCGATCATCATTTGTGATGCCATGTATATCAGTAAAGTGATATGGTTTTTGTACTGCATTGCACACGAGGAAAACGCGTTTGATGTTCATTCATGAGGCAACAATAACAAGATGGAGGATATGAAATAAAGAAAACAACAAGTATACACGTCGACCAAATTACCCATCGGCAGAATTATAGACATCTGATAAGGCTGCATAAAATTAGGCTATAAAGATATCGATCATTGGGATCACATTGTATAGATAGACTATATTACATACGCATTCAATTTCAATATCACATATGGCTCAAGACGTAACAATTATGCTAACAACCGCACATATATTACTTAGTATGCAAAAGGGAGGACGTAAACGAAATAAGCTGTTGTAATGTAGTCTCTTTAGATAAGAGGTGCTTCCAAATCATGGTTAGACTACTCACAGAGGGTATTAATGCTCATATTTCCCAATGGGTAACTCTTAAACCCGTCTTTGTCTCGTTATAGCTATTCACTTCTATACAACAGTGACTTCTTCGATGACGAAGTTGCTAGCAAGAGAGCAAAACTGCAACGTAGCTAGCGACATCATTTCATCCACGGCTTTAATGCATTTGCCCACTGATGGATTGTAGAACTTGCCAGTCCGCTGAATATGTTACAATATTTTTAGGTGAATTTGAAGAAAATCCAAATGTACCGTAATTTTCCATTCCTGATGAGCGAGCTGATTATGGCATTTCAGCAGCGAAACACCTTTTAGCGAGTCCAGACATAATCGAGAAGAGCCCATAGGACGGAACTCATTCTAAAACACAATTAATTCGGAGAGTCTGATTTTAAGGAAAATTGTCACTGAAAAGCTCAAGCATACTTTTTCCTAATAGCCCGTCCATTTCAGTGTTATGATAAATAAATCTATTACAAGTGTAGAATTTAGCACTATGTGGTCAAACTCATTTACAAAAAAAAGCGTATTTTTGAAGACTGTAAATAACAACTGCTCCCACATTTTCATTCCATCGCCATTGTTGCTCTCGTTTTCCATGACAAGCTCTCAGTTCGACTCTCGCGCCTCGTTGTATTCGTCCTTGTGAGGATTCTGCGGACAGGCACAACGTACTATTTGCAAGCCGAATCTAAAGCAAAGTTTGATAAGAGCTATAATGATTGTATCAGACTTGTGTCCCAGTTGTACCTGATATTTCTTTCCAAACTGTGCAGGTTTTTCGATGATTTCGTATTTTTGAGGAATATTATTAGGAAGGAGTTCTGGGTAGATATTCTCGAGGTACCTGAAAGTCATCAAATGAGTGAAATGAAAGATTTTTAACTTATCTTGTACCTCGTACCAGAAAAGAAAAGTTGATTGCCAATTCGCATCTAGTTTTCACTACTCACCATTTGAAAGATTTACACTGCAGATTCTTTCTTAACTGTAATCGATCACTGATATCTCCATAATCTGTCTTCATTGCTAGATATGGTCGAGCTTTGAAGAATTCCGTCTGAAAAACTGAGGATAATGGAAGGACGAGAAAGCATAGGTGGAAGCCAGTCTTTGGAAAATACTCAAATGTTTTGATGCATGCATGGTGATATATGTGACAATAATTTTCAGAAACCAGAGTGTAGTTGTGCATCATCTATCGATTCTTGACTTCAGCAAAAATAAACAGAACTCAAGGGTTTTACCTAAAAATACTCACGATATATTCATCCATCCAAACGCGAGCAGCTCTTATGGAATTTTTGCCCATCGAGTCTGATGCAAGGCCATATGGTCGCTTCCGCCTGTAGAGATAAATATACAGTGGGCAATGGTGGTGGAGCTCCCATTCCGTCCCGGGGGGGGGGGGGGCGTGGGGACAAAAATTCAAAAATTCAAAAAGTGCGTGGCGCACAGTTAGTTGCGCACTCCGTCACGCACTCCGAAAAACTTTTTGGACTAATCTCAAAATTTTTGAGACCCAAAAGCAAAGTCCAAAACCATTGAAATCTAGAAAAAGGCGGCCGAGGTTGAGGTAGCCCTCGACAAAATATAGTTACAAGGCTGACTGAACTTCTAAAAATGTTTAAAGAATATTTTACTTACTTACAGGAATAAACAAGTCACTTGCACATTTTAAAACCCATGCAAGTGAATCTAAAAAAATTTTGAGTCCCATTTTTGGGGAGAAGGGGACGCCCACTGACAGTCGGCTTTCGATTACAAATTTTCAAGGACTGGTTAATTTACCTGAAGATGTGCCCAACTCGGCTGCATGGTATGATTTCAAGCTCTCCTCCACACATCCATATCTGAAGATATTTTTGTCGCCAATAAATGAAAGAATTTATTTCTAGTGAAGGAGGCTTAGCAACGCAGAACGACCAAAACTATCTAAACGTCCTACCCTAAACGATATCTCAACATTCTCTGCACCCCATACATCCATTCCCTCATCATAAGTGCCAATTTTGAAGAAGTAATTTCGATCTATAGCAAACAAGCCTCCAGCCATAGTCGCAGATTTTAGTGGACGAATGTAATTTTCAGGATCCAAGAAGTAGATGTGTGGCGGGTAGTCCCACTGAAAATAGCAAAATTATCAATCTTGTAATTCACCAAGTACGAATTATAACATATGTGGTGAAAATGCAGGAAGTAAGCAGTTTTTTTTATTTCAACTCCAGGGGTTACGCTACAACTGTAACAAAGTAATTTCGATAGATTGACTCTATAAAATGTGATGATTTCGATATTCACTTACAGTTGAATAGATTTCCTGCTTAATATAGTGTCCATGCAGACGCGACAACGCTAGGGCGTCAATAATTGCCTTGCGAGTTCCCGAGCTAGTATTTTCCAATGTTTTCTTTACTTATTTCATGCTTTTAGTTGATTCGTTGCTGATAAAGAAGAAAAGGGTAAGTTAGAAAGTAGTTTCTGTTTTCTGAGAATTCTATCATCGCATATTCACAGATATCCACGTGGAGGCATTACGCGTCAGCTGCCCTTGTCTATTTTTTTTGTCATTTCCTTTCCTTCTGTTACTTCTTCTTCTTTCAAACCTCCTCCTTCTTGTGAGGCATTTATTTGAACGCTAGTTGGCTTGTCTTGCAGCAATTTCGGCTTTCACCCATAAGAAATAGCATTTTAATCAAGTACTTGATGTGATAAAGACAATAAGTCAATCGTAAAAACCCACTAGCGTTCAAAGAAGTACTTCACAAGAAGAAAGAGATGTGAAGTGACAAAAAAATAGACAAGAAGCTGACGCAATGCTTCCACGTGGATATCTGTGAATACGCGATGATAGAACTTCTCAGAAAACAGAAACTATTCTCTAGCTTACCCTTTTCTTCTTTATCAGCAACGAATCACCTAAAAAGCATAGAATAAGCGAAGAAAACACTGGAAAACACTAGCTCGGGAACTCGTCAGGCAATTATTGACGCCTCAGCGTTGTCGCGTCTGCAGGGACACTATATTAAGCAGGAAATCTACTCGACTGTATTGTCGACTCCCCAACTTTGGCGAGGCGGATTCGTGATCTTCACCGAAAATCGATGGATCAGGTATGCCTCGGCACAGGGCAGCCGCAACGCAAGGCACGCTAGCGCAGCTCCGCCTCGCCAAAGTTGTGGAGCACTCATACTTATTTGGCGCATTCAAGTCCTCCGAACAAAATTTTATATGCCTATTATCTATAGTACAAAGATTTTTTTAATTCATCGTTTCTCGGACATTAAAGTTCTTGAAGTTCTTGCGCAGTCACAAGAACAAAAACACAAGAATACAAAGAAAAGTTGAATTTCCAAATTTGTAGCTTCGTTAACCTTGAAAGTGAGTCCCCAGTTCAGTCCACCCTTGCAGACAGGCGATTCCACATACTTCATGGTATCCAAATCAATGATATCGATGATAGGACACACAACCCTGAAAATTTAGACTTTTCTTAGGGATCAAGAAGACCTCAGAACATTTGCGTTTGGGACAAAGTACTTACCTTTCAGGCTTTTCCTTGATACGTTCCAGTAATGGTTGCAGCCATTCTTGGTTGACTTCACAGTGGCTATCGAGGAAGACCTTCAATAAGTAGAATAGCCTTAGTATTACACAATGTAGATGCATTACAATTCCACGCAAAGCCATGCCTCCTGTATCTTATTTTCAGCAAAACTTCACTCTATCAAAGTGTTATTAAACTTCTTGACTGTATTACTATACAACTGGGTAAATAAATGCTTTTACTGAGGAGTAATTCATTCCAATTCTTTTCTAAATGTAAAACTACTGACCAAAACTTCTCCACGCGCTTTCCGCGCTCCGAAGACTTTAGCTCGAATAAGACCTTGATTGGTTGGTGTTCTCAAAAACTTCACCATATTCCATTGTGGATGTTTCTTCTGATAATCAGCCGCTTGTAGTGATGCATCGGCTAAAATAAGCCATTTCATTCAGATTTTTCGAATTCAGATTGAACTGTTTTTACTCATAGCTGTGAATGAAGCACCAGAAACTCACGCCATTCGCTGCTATCGTCAATGAGCAAAATTTCTTGGATCAGTTCAAGTGGTGTCCTATCGATAATTGAGTTGACCATTCGAATAAGCACGGATGGAGATTCGTTGAAGTAGCAGACGATGATGCTTGTCTTTGGCAGTGATGACTTGAAGGTGTGAGGACATCTGGAACAATTAAAGTTGACAAGAGAGGAAAAAAAGAGAAGTGAAATTGTTGTTCTCATATAAAAGATGTAATCAGTTGATTTCACAGGTGTATAGTTTCCTTGCTTTGTCACAAAGCAAAATGACCATAAGGCAAACATAAAAATTTGCGCACTGGTGAATTTTGACTTGCACAATTGTTGGTATCCTAGAGACACCTTAATCTCTCTCTCAACCATATATATTAGAACGATGAAATGCTGGAAATTAGATATAAACAGAGATGATTTGTGTTTATATGTCAACTGCTATAAGTACGCAGATCCATGTTATTCACAGTCGAATCAAATATCAGAAGCATAGAAACGTTATCGAAGCTACAATTGGCAAGGAGGAATTTGTGTTCATTTAGTCAAATGACAGAATAAAAGTTTTAATTTTCCAACTTATCGGCAACAACCAGCCAGAATAATAGATAGAAGTTGTAAAGTTTCCTCATATCCAGTACGAAAGCATAGCGAAGCTATCTTCTACAAATGAACTGCATGAATTTAGAAGTGTCATGGAAGAGTTCTTTTAAAGAGTGAAAATGCATGAGCGGTTATCAAGCACGAGCTATTCAAATACAGAATGCTGTTAAGTGCATTTTGCAAACTGTCAGATCTTGGAAAATTAGAAAAAAAATTTGGGCTTGCTCCTTTTCTATCGTGTTGATTAAGAAAACCTTTTTTGGTTGAAAAAGTGGTTATTCGATTTGATTGACTTACTAAATTCACCTCTTTCTGCCGATGTGTTGTGAGCAATCTGTACTTCCTTTCTCTTTCATTATCCGGGAAAATTATTTGTGAGTGTGGTAGCGATAATGATTACTTATAATAGCGCCAATACAGATCTTCGCACAAAAATCCCACGGCAGTTTTGACCTACATGACAACAAGTCACTCAATATCCGCGATTTCAACCTTCCCTGGAACGAACAGGGCTTGCGAGCTGACACCAGGGAAATTTCTGAAAACGAAGCCCCATTTGATCTTAAACTAAGCGTAAACCCCCTTAAAAACGAAAATCGACAAAAAAGCGTCGCAATTTTTGTTTTTTCGGCCACAAAAACGATATCCTCTCTGCTTTTTGTCCAAAAATGATATCCAGCTTGACCGGTGCCAGCTGTGCCGAGCCTCGAGATCAAAGTGACAAAAAATCTGTATCTTTTTAGCATTGTTACTGCAGTTGAAAAAATTGTTGAAAGTTATAGAATAGTATTTGACTTTTACATTTTTAGGCCTAAGATAAAGGTGCAAAAAAAGTCATCCTCGCACGATATTTTGTCCCCCTTTGTTTGTTTTTGTGCATGATCCCTGCCCTCCCTGCCGGCTTTAGAAAAGATTTTCCGCATGAACAGCTGCTGGTTCTTGATGGATTTCTCGAATTCATTAAGAACCGGTCATTCAGCGCAGCTAATGCTAAGCTTACATAAAGCAAGCATTAGCTGGTCAATAAATGCGTTAGTCCAGTGAGCCTCCGGGATCGAAAAGATACTTTAGATACTTTTTGTTCCTTATGAAAATGCCACAACAATGAAAGGAGCTTCTAGAACTGTATACAGGGTGTCCGTAAATTATGTATACACTGTTTGATCGTTAATATCTTTCCTCCCAACAAGTCTCTCGTCTTGCTTCAGGTACCGTTTTGTAGAGCTGGTTTCAACTTAGATTTACAGTATGGAGCGAATCATGTATCGCTTTTCATTACTGTAGGATTACGGTACGAACTTCCAGCATATGGAACCAATGTGAAATATACCACTTAACAAAATTTTCTTCAAAAAATCTGAAAAATCGTGCACTAGGCTTTTCGCGCATACTGATTCCACCTAACAACTTTTTACAAGTGTTTTCGGCTTTTTTGACGGTGTAATTACATTTTTGACAAATGCTGGGAATCTAGTTACCACGATTTACCAGGGATAACTTAGGAAAGAAGCATCACAGTAGAATGGGAATTTTAAATTCGAAATCAGCGGCTCTCATTACCGTAGTATAAGAGTTTCTGGCTTGTTTGGTCTTGTTCCGAGGCAGAATATGGCCTCCAATAGCCTAAAATCTTTGTCGAAGTTCGTACCGTAATCCTACAGTAAAGGAGAAAGATGGACGATTCGCTCTATACTGCAAATCTAAATTAAAGCCAGCTCTACAAAACGGTACCTGAAGCAAGGCAAAATACTTGTTGGGAGGAAAGATATTGATCTCAAACAGTGCATACATACTTTACGGACACCCTGTATATTAGGGTGTCTGATTTTTTTTACCGTTTTTACCCTAAACATCAGAATTTCTCGGAACTGGGGCATCTGCAAAGGGTACAAATACATGATCGGACCTCTTTGTGAACGAGCTATATGATCACGTGTGTGGGAGAAGCTCAGGACTTTAGGGCGGAGTTTGCCATTCTACTCCATTCAATTTCTTCTTTATTTCTAGCCATGGAAAAAATACGAGAAGTGTACAATTGAACTCGGTGTATCAAGCATCTGCTAGGATAAATGGAAGATTTCTAAGACTTTTCGGGGCCGAGATACGGCTTTTTACGGTAAAGTCGTTTTTTGACCGCTATCATATTTGAGCTCAAAACTTCACGTGAAATACGAATCGGGTAGAATATTGATAGCCAAGCTGTACAACTTGCTTTGCTCTGTCGAATTATTGTTTAAGCCACATCATTTGATGGAGAAATGCAAAAAGAAGACGGTTGTAATAAAAACGGCAAACAAATCATGAGACACCCTAACATATAGGTCATAAATGACACCCTCACTTCTTCAGCTATCGCTCGGAGTTTCTTCCTGTCAGATGATGAGACCGAGCGGCAATTTTCGGATCATAGCTGAGTGTTCCATTTTAAACTCAAAAGAACGCAAATTGGTGTTCTTCATAGCCTTTGAGTGGCCGTCTCAAGAGATCAGAAAAAAGACGTTGACCGGTGGCCGGTTCAATGGAAATGTGATTAGCGGAACTGAGCTTGTGCTAGCTAGTTTTCGTTGCTTAGTTTGACGACAGACAGCGGATCAGTGGTATAGGAAAAGCTTCCTATGTCGAAAGCAGATGACGGCCATCGCTGCATTTTTGAAAACAAAAACGCTTCTGCTGGAAGGCTTAGCTGGCAGCTAGCAAAGGTTTTTACAATGCATAAACTCTCAGAACTTGGAATATCAGAAAAAAATTATGGGTTGACTTTGCTTCTTTTTTTACCGTGTTGATCAAGAAAACCATTGTAGGTTAAGAAAGTGGTGGTGTTTGAATTGGTTACTAAACTCCATAACTCACTCACTTACTTAGGAGTTCCGGGGAAGATTTTTAAACACTTCTACTCCGTCTAAGGGCAGGAACGAAACGGTGCCTTTTAGTTACTTGCACATTGTCAATTGAAGACTTTTCTTCTGATTATTTACAAAAAGCAATTTTTCCCTACGACCAAAAAGCAGCTGACTCTCTTTAAACTTTAACTATTTGATTTACTAGCTGGCTTACCCGGCTCCGCCGTATGTTCCGAATAGAAAATTCCATTTCTTAACCGATCCGGACCAAACTTGGCACACATACACTTCGGGCCCCGGCGGGTGTCACAGTCCACTTTTCGTTATCGATCGATGTCGATTTTATCGATTTTTTGCAAAATTTGAGCTACGTGGCTGGGAGCTGGCAGAGGGGTGTAATCTAGCATGCCGATTACGAATACAATATTAGTTTTCGAAACCGTGCATTACTTTTATCGATAAAATCGATAAAAGTAATACACGATTTCAAAAACTAATATTGTATTCGGAATCCCCATGCTCACTTACCCCCTGTGCCAACTCCCAGCCCCGTAGCTCAAATTTTGCAAAAAATCGATAAAATCGATATCGATCGATACGAAAAGTAGCCTATGACACCCGCCGGGGCCCGAAGTGTATGTGTGCCAAGTTTGGTCCCGATCGGTTCAGAAATGGAATTTTCTATTCGGAACATACGTACAGATATACATACATACAGACAGACACACAGACAAACAGACATTCAGCTTTATATATAAGATTGAGATTTTATTAGGTTGGAAACAAAGTTTCGCAACTCTCTTCATAGCTTTACTCTCTTCAAATGTTGCGCACTCAAACCTTGGCAATATGTAGAACGTAGTGCGTTCTACAACTGTGCACAAACTTTGTAATTTTGAGCATGAATCAAAAAATTCCGAGGCGTAACAAGAACTACATAGTGAATTTCGAGAATTTTTGGGGTTGTAAGCCATGCACAATGATCCAAAACTGTATGTGAATCATTGCTAAAGGCAGACTTAATACAGTACATAATAGCAATAAATTTTAAGAAAACTCGAGATATGACACCCTCAAGTTTGAACGAGCCGCTGTAGGTAAGGCTACTAAGGACAACCGTCAATGAATAGGGAGTCAAAACCTCAAAATTTGTGAAACTTCGCATAAGGCGTTATTTGATCTGACAAAGATGAACATCATATTCGTTTGTTAAATCAACGCTTTTTTTCCTTGATTAGGGTAAGACTTGAATTGTAAACCTACAGTATTACAAAAAAGCCCTTACCATGCAATTTCAGTATTGTTTTCGTGGTGGCATGTCGAATGCCCCCCATGCCAAGTTCCAGCTAAATCCGCAAGATTTCATAATTTTTGTCTCTACACCATATACCTACCGTAACCCCCACTGCGACGTCAGAGTTTGGTAGGTTTCCAACCTAATATATTGTGGCTGGGTAACATCGTTTGGAAAGTCCATCGGAAAAATGAGAAGAGCAAATTGTCTCACGAACAAGATTTCCGGAGGTAAAAACATAGAAGTTTTAGACACTTGTTGCAGTGTTCTAGATACCAAATTCTCAAATGCGTTATTCATGCACACAAAACTCTCAAGAGCGAACTAAAATTAATTCCGAACTAAAATGCATATCACTGCCTATCAATAGCTATCAAAGCGATCGTACTTGGCTGCAACCAGATTGGCTGCTGGAAG